ATTATAATAATAATTTGTAAATGTATACTTATGAAGATACACGTGATTCAAAACTGGTTAACTCACACACATGTGCTCCAAACTCTTGAATCAAATCCCAGATAGCACATGATGTTCTGAGAATATTCTGAGAATATCCTGAGAATATTCTAAAAATGTTATGTCTAATATACGTAGAATATACTCCATATATATTATGATATACTCAGAATATACTTAGAATATTCCTACTTCCGCCCATTTATTGTTCTCAGAACATCCTCAGAATATCATCCATGATATTCTGAGAATATACTTCGAATATTGTTAGTATATTTCATATTTCGTAGTATATTCTAACAATATTCCATGTATATTCTAAGAATATTCCATGTATATTTTTAGAATATCGTGGATGATATTCTGAGGATATTCTGAGAACAATCAATGGGCGAAAATAGGAATATTTTAAGTATATCTATCTAATTGTAAGATTATCTGAAGTTTTATACTGAACATATTGGTGTTATTTACAGCATATTCACAGATAATGTACTTATTATATGTTTTGAGAACTGATATAATATGTAGCAAATCCTAGAATTTTTCTCCGTATACACTCAGAAAATATTCCAATTATAAGACTTTAATTATTAATTATATACAATATTCATATAATTGTGTAGACTTTATTTATAAAATAAATACATATATATTTATATACTATATGTACGTAAGTTTAGTTTTTGGTACAAAATAATTTTAGCATTTGTAAAAAATAAAATATCTTTATATATATATATTTTGTTATAAATAATTTCTTAATCACATATCATTAAATATTACATTAAGCCGGTTCTACATTAGTTGCAAGCCGATCGCAAGTTCGTTGCGACAGCCAATCTCAAGCTTGTATTTTGAAATCAATACTTCAGACTAATGTAGAACCGGCTTTATACATTATTGCACTTCTTATGCGATTTTTATACCGATTACAAAATAAAAAGATATATAGAACGAATATAGAAAATATACTACGCTCAAAAGTTCGGCGTTAAAAAAATTAAATATTTTATTCCTATTGTAATTAATATTTGTTGTTGAACTAAACTATTGAACGAAACATAGTGAAACTATTGAACGAAACTTAGTTTTTTATAACTAATCACAGTCTATGTAATTAAGAATACAAAAATAACAAACAACAGCAAAAAAACATATAGAATGAATAGAAAATATACTATTGCTCTCAACAGTCTGGCGTTAGATAAATTAAATATTGAACTCTTATTATTATATAATTAATATTTGTTGCTAAAATAACTTGTTGAATGGTACGCAGTGTATTTAGTTTTTTATAAGTAATCAATCTAATTAAGAAAATAAAACAAACGATAGTATAAAAAATATGTATAGGACAAATAGAAAATATATTGCCGCTCAAAAGCTTGATGTTTGAAAAATTAAATGTTAAACTTTTACTGTAATTAATATTTGTAGTCGCTGCATTTGAAATATCGAACGATATTATATTTAGTTTTAATTCATAATATATCAATCAAAATATAGTTTAGAATACAAATTAATTATTCTGTTCGTTCTGCTTTTGCGAAGTTTTGGAACATCGCTCTTTGGCATGAGCAAGCCAAATTTTTATTGGAGCTGATATCTCATCCTCTGTGAAATTTTCGTATTGTTTTCTCACCGCAGCTGAAATAATATTTTATTTTGACTATCTAATTATGTTTTATTTACATCATATTGCAAAGTATGTTTTACATGACTGTAAATTTTTGCACTTGATATTCATAGTTCAAACTTACCAAGTATTACTTTACATATCATTAGATCCGAAAAAACGTTTTTCTTCTTACCCCCGATCCAACTATAATTAACGGCGAGTTCGTTCGAGAATGTTTGTCGCATTATTTTTAATGCCAAATTCTTCATATCGAGGCCTCCTATGTTTGCTAACTCCTTAATCTATTACAACGTAACGAATAAAATATTTTTAAATAATCCGAGCTAATTAATACAATATTTGAATGTGACTTTAATTTTACTCAAAATGATTATGTGTATTTTGTGGGAGATTTATATTTACCAATTTTTTTCTATATTTCGTATCCTCTTTCAACTTAAGTTCTAATTCTTGCAAAGCCACTTCATCTTCTAATGGAAGATTATACCAAATGTCGACGTCATCGGCATTGGGACTTTCATCAGATTGGCGAAGTTTGTGAACTAACTTCCCTTTTAATTCTTTTAATATTTCCTTTTGCCCTTGTTTTATACTTTGCATTTGCAAATCGAGCGAAATTAATTTGCGAGTGATGAATCGATAATATCTGTACGGTCTATAATGTATAGAAAATGTTAAATTTTAATTTAACATATATTAAAGATTAAACATACGATAAACCTACAAAATTATAATTATTTATTGCTGATATTTTTAACAACACTTATTATTCTCACCCTTAATTTCAGATCTGCATGGCACGTTCACGAATTTATCCAAGTACCGAAATTTTCTGCATTTTCTGAAGGCTGTACAGTTTCGCTGTACAATGATTCTTCTAAGGATAAAAAAGTGACATTTGTCATTAAATTAAACCTGTTCATTATATATTTATTAGGTTACGATAACATTATGGCTGTTCAAAAGAACTCTATACGCAAAATGGAATTATGTGACAATAATTCAAATTATGGACCTAAAAATTCATCTACCCGTTTAATAATTGTCATTGATACACTAACCTTTCCTTATATCGATGGAATGATACTCGTCCTCTGAAGAGGATTGACAATTATCAGTCAGATGGGAATTGGATTGTAATGTAATAGGCAGGGAATGGAAGTAACTCGTTACTTGTAACGAAGTTACAGTTACAAGTTACTTTTTTGGTAACTTTACTGGTAACTGCGTTACTTTCTTTTTTTGGTAACTGTAACGGTAACGAGTTACATTTTTTGGGTAACGGTAACGAAATTTACAAATACAAAGAATAAAAAGGCTAATGAGAGTAAACTCGCTGTTATCAATGCGAAATCACAAAAAACAATATATATTCTCGTTAACAATCAAAAAATGTCATATATAAAATACTATACGTTTCGGCCTAACATCCGGGCCATCTTCAGTAGTAAATTCAAATAAAAGACATGGATCTGTAGAAAAGTGGTCACTCTCAACGTCAAACAATCAAATCCACATGGTTGGTAGGTCATGTGCAAACGACAAGACGTTAATCTAAGTAAAAATTAAAAATTAATGACAATGATTGAAGAAAGATGAAAATGAACACTCACCGACAAATCCATGATTAACAAGATAAAGTTGTATTAAAGAAATAAAAGACCACCATCAGACAAACAACAAATTAATATAAAACAAGTCAAAAGATAAAAATCCGAAGATAACATTTTGGTGGTCACGATTTAAATGTAATAATAGTAAACAGAACAACTCTAAGAGGAGCAACGATGTATCGATTTATCTCGCAGTAACCTCGATGAACATAAATATCCAATAAAGTCGTACATACAGTTATAAGCGCATGCGTGTAACCAACGATACAGGAATCGATATAATTCTTCCAATCAGATAACAAGTTCCTATTACTAATAGGAACATTATTTGCAGTCTTTTTCACTACAATTTTAAAGTAATTATTTTTTAATTTATTTCCATGATGTACATACTTACTCTGCACGCCTACATGTTCGACTTTATTAGTACCAATACAATTTAAGTTAATATTAGAAGTTTCACGCATTGCTACGTTTTCCAAAGACTGTTTAAGATATACTGTACTTCATTTCTTGAAATAATTGTTTGTAAGAACATTGAGTAGCGATGTTATAAGTAGTAGCTAAATCTATTATTTCACATACATAGTTAAACCTTATTATATTAATAGAGCTCACGACTGTGACTAAAAAATCATTTGCACTACATTTGCAGTACATCTGAAGTTTCCACATAATATTTTATGTAAAAAGAGTGTTTTAAGCCATACAAATTTATACAATAAAATTATAATAAAGTATAAATGAACAAATGTAATAAATCATAATTTATAACCTACAGTTTATAATCTATGTCAATGAAGTATTTGTATTACTACAAATTCAGAATCGATATTCGAAAAAAAGTTATTATCTGTACTTCAAGAAAAGTCTATAATACTGTAAATAATACTGTATAATAATTAAAATTGATAAAAAACCTTTCTTTGTATTAGATTCTTCGCGATGTAATGCTCGAGCAAACTTCTCGTCCTTTGAAAACGTTCTACCAGAACTATTACTATGCTTAGTATCAGAAGTTTGACTTGTCAATATCTTTTTCTGAGGTTTTTCCAGTACAGCAAGTCCATTGTCTAAAACAATTATTCGTGAATATATTGTCAGATTTCGTTTACGATTTATGTCATCATCAATTATGATCATTAGTAGTTGTGTGACCAATTATTTCATTAATTCAATAAACTTTTTTTAGTGCAAATATATACACAGAGAAAAAAGCCTTAACAATATATGTAGTATTGAAAATATATAAGGGACGTAGTTAAAATTTCAATTTTGAAGTATATTATAATAATTTTATAATAATGGAATCTTACTTTATACGATTGTATATATATTATAGTATTGATATGTATAATTTTAACATTACCCTAAAAGCAAAATATCAGTAATTTGGGGCCAAATTGGCAGCAAACTCGATCAGATTTTGGCACCATACAAAACCATAGCCATCTGTGTCCGTATATGGCTATGGATTTGTCGACAAAGCTTACTGGCAGACTATGCTAACAGATTGGTAGCAGAAACCAAGCAAAGTCTGCTCGAATCAGGTTCTGCTTTCAATTTGTTCTCAATCTGTCATCAGAGGTTATGCAGGACTTTGTTCGGTTTCTGCCACCAATCTGCGGGCATAGTATGTCTAACAGGCTTTATCATATATCTGACAGCAATTTACTGACAATGTCACATAATACAAACTCTGTGTAAAATTTGTTGCCTTTCTGTAATCAAAAATTGATAGCAGACCCTGCTCAAAATCTGTCTCCGCAGGTTTTGTTATCAGGATATCACTACATTGTAGTACAATAAAATATAGTTTTAAGATATTTATGATCTTATTACGAATGGATCGAATTACGTATATTTTGATATTGTAAATTGATTTATGATTATTTGTGGTCTCCTATTCTAACTGTTACATACATTGTACCATAACATTTTTTATCAATGTAAAGACTTATTTAATATTATTATTATTATTATTATTACAATTACCCTTCTTTTTTCCGATATATGTTTTTCGTAAACTTTTCTCCGGAACTATAGGAAACGATGGAACCTCTACGATATTATCATTTTCGGAACTGTTACATTCTGACGAATCATCGTTGATTCGATTATTTTTCGCTTTTATTTTTCTGCTTCGTTTTAATATTTCATCCCTGTCAGAACCAGTTGGCACATCGGATATAATTTGGGCATCTGCTAATATTTGCCGAGCTTTTTCGTACGATGCTGAAAGTAATAAACCATTACAAATGTGTCATAACATTTATAATATATGTATTAAGATGTAGAATTATTGATAACTTATATAAATTAACACTCGTCTGAGCTTGCAAATATAGTAGAATCATTTAATGAGTTATTGTCCAGGTATGCGAATGCTCGTTGAATAAATTACAAACATTATTTTTAACTTAATGTGTTCTTTTAGACTATATTGATACCATATATGATACTTTACAGTAAAAGTGTGTCCAATACTATTCACTCACTTTAAATATAATGTAATCTATCTTTATACACGTGAATATTTATTATAGATGGAACGTTTTATACTTCAATAAAAAAAAAAATAGTAACTTACACGTGCTGCTTATAATTCCTTCAATTGAAACTTCGGACCAAGAATCTTGATAGTTCTCCATCAATTCAACTGTTTTATCATAGCGTTTTTGTGACGTAAATGTTGGCCATCGCATTTTTGATGCATCGTTGTTAATCCATAAGTTTGGTACTATTTGAATACCGTCGCTAAATTCGACGATGACATAGTCCTTTAAATCCGTCATTATCTAAATTGCGACAACAGTTTTAACAATTTTAATCGGAATGTAACAGTGGCAATACTGCGAATTTATTATCCAAATATGGCAATTTCATATATTTCTTATCGACATTTGTTAATGGCCACGATTTTAAGTGCGACAAATTATATACCAAAAAGATATCGAGAATAGCAGAATCACACGGTACCAAAAATAGATTCTCTTTTATCAAAAATTCGTTGCCAATGACTACTGGAATTTTCCGTTGTGAACAATATGCAATATTTTGTATCAAAATAATAGTTCCGTCGTATAAACTGCAACAGTTATCCGAACAAGAGGTAGCATGTAAACTCGTACTTGACGATTTTATTACTTTATACTGCGGATTAATACATCCGAACAAAAGCGGTCCATCACCATGAGCAGATTTGACATTCAGAGAAAATTCAGCAACGCGTAGTATCAGTGGTGTAAGTACTGATCGATTCTTTTCTTGTTCAGCACATCTTCGTACAATTTGTTGTAATTGTTGATTAGGTTTTCTTAGTAGGTTTTTAAATATTTGCATATGATTCTCATAAATAAATGCACTAAAGTTCTGAATTTGACCAAATCTCTTAACATACGAAATAAGATGTTCACTCTGATGAACATTTGACGACACATTATGAGCTCCATACAGCAGTTGAAAAGATGAAATAAAATGTTCCACAAGTTCCTGTGCATAATCTAATAAATCGAATAATTTTTCGTCGCTTATAATTCTCACTACCACATGCAGTGTCACAAAATGATTGTAAATGTCACGGCGTAATGATCGTAATGCTACTGGTCCTATCCCAAGCAGCAAAGGTGGGCATCTTGACCAAGCCAAAGTCAGATTGCCCTAATTAAGGAAAAATTTAGTAATTTTCGACCTAAAAAGTGTCTAAAAAGTTAAATAGTGTTTCAAGTCCATTGTACAGGTCGAATGTTACGTAATTTTGATCTACAAGATCCTATGAAAGCTTTGTGACTTTAAAGTTATACATTAAGTTATAAATTACTAAATTTTTACCAAAGATATGTCTTTAAAGTCGACTAAACTTAGAAGTCAATATCAAAGTCTCGTTTAAAGGAAATATGACCTGCTTGGGTTACCTTATTTCGACCATGTAGACGGTATTACTTAATTGGTCAGAATTTTCTAATTTATATGGAATATAAGTCCTCCATACTCAACTTGGACTAATAGGTAATATTTAAGACATATAGTAACTTCACGGCTGTACTGGGAGTTAACTTCAAAGTCGAAATTACCGCGGAAAATGACCTATAGGAAATTTAAACCGAAATTAGAACAAAATGTCCAGCAAAATTGCTCTGAAAGTTAATTTTTGGACTTAGCGTCTGGAAATTAACATAACCACTAACTGTCATTCAACAATACATAATTTACTCCATTTACTCCTGCTTGCTTTAAAAATAAAGATGCAGAAGGAAAGGAAATTTAAACCGTACCGTTTAACGACAAGTTTTTATAGACATTCAAAGAAAAATAGTGGAAATAGTATAAATAATACAACGATAACTGCTTCTACCAGTCGTGACGTTGCAGGAAAAATGAATAATGATATTGATAGTGAAAACTTAATTGCGGTATCACAGCATTTAGACGTTCCCGTAAATGATATGTGTAATTCGCCGTCAAGTTCGTCGTTAACTGACCGTGATGAATTGTTAGAATTTGATGTCATTCCTGAAAAAGATG